TCCGGTTTTGGATTTGTTTGGGTCTTCGACTCCTGCCATCCGACGAAGGTTGAAACAGGTTGGATCTTAGGGTTTCAAACCCGCTCTGATACCATCTTAAAAATGATGGTCACAAGAGGAAATTCTAATCTTTTAATAGTAATTTGATACTGAATTCTCAAAATATGGGGGAAAATTTATAGGCCACATACGGGACTCAAAAAAACGGAATGATCAATCAACTAGGCTAGATAAAAGGAAAGGATAAACGTAAAGAAAGAGGATATTATAAGGAGAATATCTTATGATATCCTATAAAATCATTTAGGCAAATCAAACAAAGTCTGCAATTATGATTTGCCACTCAGGGTCGTAATGCATAAATTGTGAGACTATAAGAAGTTTGTAAGCTAGGAGGGTTACAACATCTTGGGGCACATCCCAATGTCACGTACACTAATAATCGTGTAGGAGGCGGCTTTAAGGGTTTCTATGACCTGAACCTGAGAGCTTATGTCACTAGGCCTAGATCAACATAAGACAAGAAGTTATCTAGTCTATTGGGCACAATTTATGAGGCATTAAAAGCAATGTAGATAGAATAGATTCCTAGACATGTTGATGGTGTATGCGTAGGTTTTTTCAAGAAAGGATTTAAGGAGCTTGCTATAATCCAGACGAGTCTTTATAATACTTTAAGTGTGATGCATGCTTCTCCATGTTATATATGATATGGTGCTCAACATAATATTATTTGGTGAAGTGTGGTATACTACTTGTTTATACTATATTTGTTCATATATAGCATGTATATATAGACATGTTTTATGAATTACGGTGCATGAATGTAACATCCAATTTCTAATATGTCCAATTATTTGCTTATTATATTTAATTATTGGGTTAAAGAGAACTTATGATTTAGTGTGAGTTTGGGTCTGAAGTTTTAGAGTTATATTTCTTAAGAATATATTAGAGGATTTGGAAAATATCACATCAAATAGATAAGTAAAACGGATTTTTTGGAAGATATTTTCTGGAATATTTTTGTTGGATGTTATAGATTATCTCTTTATAAACGTGTAGGAGAAAACCTCATAGAAAACGGAGGTCCGAGCGAAAAGTTATGAATAATTTAAGTGTTGATGGTCAAAATAGGTACCTAGCCAGGCCAACTCGGCCCAACTCGAGTTTTAGCATTATAAATTGGAGTTTTGGCCCATTTTTCATGTCATCTAAGTCCAGAACTCTCACACACTAGAGATGCGATTTTCACACACATAGGCTTGATTCAACTCAAATCAAAGAAGAACTACAAGATCTTTGAAGGATTTGATCATCAAGTAAGGTATAATCCATTCTTTGCACTTGTTCTTGGTTGACATTCTTGTTATATGGATTGCATGTTGAGTTAGAGTTAGGGTTTCATATGGGTTTGATCTTAAGTGTATAAAATGAGTGCATTTTAGTGTTTATGGCATGAAATGGTCATTAAATTCAAGAGATTATCAAGATTTATGCAAGTTCATCATATGAACTTTGACTTGATTAAGTCAATGATTTGGGAGATAATATAAATGATAAAATAAAGGTTGGATTTTATGTTATATTAAGTTGAGATTCAGAAGTTAGAATAATTTGGAATCGAAATGGTTTGAGAAAAATGTTTGAAAATGAGAATGTTGACTTAAGAATGCATTGAAAGTGTGCATACTTTGAAAATCTGTATAAAATCGTAGAAAAATCCAAATGAGGTGAGGCCAATTTCCTTGGTTAGATATTTGTGTCTAGTTTATTTATTATGATTAAGGCATGAATTCGAGCTTAAAATGGGCAAAACAGTTCTGCATGCAGCAGCTGTATATAGAAATTTAGGTAAAATGTTCAAATAGGATTTGTGTATATCATGAGTTTCTTATATTGATTGCTTATAAGATTTTGTACATTTACTCCAGGAGGTAATTAGGACATATTTTGATACTTTGGAAGCAATCTAAGTGTGGTAGACTGGACTTGCTTTGTGAGCTCAATTCGGAGCTTTTCGGTATTGTACGGTTGCCCGGTGAGTTATATAGTTTATTGTTACATATTGATTTGAATATATATATTTTCATATGAATGTTTTTGGTCTTGAATGGAGTCACATGATCTTGATTTGTGTTTGATTCCGTCTCTTGAGTCGATTCCTTATTACTATCTCGGTACATCAGTTTGCTTTCTGAATCCGGATTCGTTGTTTTGTTCCTTGAATTGTACGCCATAGTACGGATACTACTTCGTGTGGTACACCAGAAGTTTATGGTGAAATCAAGATCCCGGGTTGGACGGGTGAGACTTTCTGCGGTTGTGAATACTCATTGCTCAAAGAGGAGGAAGAGCAACGAGTAGGGAACCTTGACACATACCCGGTAGAGGAAGGCGGGGAGTGCGAGGTTTCCCGTAATGTATGATTCTGACTCGGACTTTGGCATGAGCCCGGGAGGTGAAGGACGGGGTGATGCACTGTCCTCGTTATGTATACCGATTCGATCTCTTGGTTCTTGATATTTATTGGTATTCTAASRTTGCTGAATATATTTGGTTGTTGATCCTGTCTCCTTGTTGTATTGAGCATCAATGATATGGTATACTATGGTGATTTGAATRTGGAATCCTATGATYTTAGCATCCGGTATGTAATTGTTCACTCGGTTTCTTGAAAGTCTCAGTTTGCATCTGGATGATGTCTTGAACTCTTTTATTGATAAGAGTTTATTATGTATGTTTATAAACATGTGCGATATTGATATGTAATACTTAACTATTTAACTCACTAAGCGTTGACTAACCATTTAAGTGGCAACCTCTCTCAGGAAAGAAGACGGATAAATAGAAAGAACCCGTTGTTTGACTTGAAGATTTATCGGGGAACTTGAAGATTTCGATCTTGCTTTTGGGTAAATAGTAGCTTATATATATATAGTCTTGTCCCGTATTCTTTTGGCTATTTAATTTGGGTTGTAAGTAAAAATCCGTTATATCCGGTTTGAAATTGTGTTTTGGGTGGTTTTATCACTAAAGTAGAACGGATATTTCGATGTTTTTCTAGAAATTAATATCACATATTTTGATGTTAATTAATGTTATGCCCAGATTTGTGTGTTTCAAAATGTTGGCCTCTGGTTCTTCATAGCCTCTGGTTCTTCATCGTCTCTAGACCATTGCATCATCTCTGGACCATTGCATCGGCTCTGGACTAATGCAACCATTGCCTCTGGTCCAACCATTGCCTCTGGTCCTTCATAGCCTCGCCTCTGGTCCAACCATTGCCTCTGGTCCATCCATTGCCTCTGGTCCATCCATTGCCTCAGATCTTCCTCCAGACTTAGTCTTTTTAGCAGCATTTTCAGATTTTCTTTTTCCATCATTGGCCCCGATTGCTTTGACAAAACTTTTAAAATAATTAGGATCAATTTTGGTCCCAATAATCAATAAATTATATTTTATTAGAGATTTTATAGGAATTGGTAATTTGGGGCTTGCTCAAGCGAGATGTTACAATGAATTTTTAAATATGCTACGCATTATTTTAAAGAATGTGTATTATATGCACGAACATGATGAAACTTGTTGAGATATTTAACTGACTGTCATACTCATATGCATCTAAGGAGTACTGTTATTGGCACTAAGTAAGAGGAAAAGCAAAGTCTAGCTAGATTTGTAGATTCGATGTTCCTTTGGATCGTTATCAGGTAATGTATTTTGGATATTGGTTGGTTGATGCTACCAGTTCGGTATGAGACGAACTAGGAATGCTTTGGAACTTGTAATATTGTAAAAGAATTAACCAATTAACCAATTCTGATGGAGACTAAACTCTTTACCACTCTTGTGTATAAAAACCAAAACTAAGTCATTTCATGTTTGATTAGATTATATTATGTAAAAGAATGAGAGGGTCTATTTTTGTAAGAAGAGAACTTTGAATGTGACTTTTGATCGTGTAATGGGGTAGGCATCGAATCGAATTCGGAGGCTTTCTTATCATCATGTGCACTTTCAGAGATAGTGGCTTCCAAAGTTGAGACTTTGGGTTCTATGCTACAAATTATTATGAATTTCTTGATTTTAAAACTATGTTGTATGATAAAATGTTTATCAAAAGCTTACTCGGGTAAACGTTATTTATTAAGTCACATTTCTTTACTGGATGAATATGACAAGGACCAAAAATCTTACCTGGTAAAGAGTAAAGTCATGAACCGAGAGTCTTACCGGGTAAGTGTTTAAGTAAACGGCCCTTTAGTTCATGATATTTTTCTTATTTATTTTAATTAATTTTGGTAAAAATAAAAAAGTGCAAACGTAATCGAGGGAGGGCATGAAGCAAAGGTGTTGGAAGAAAAGGTTTCACGGGCTTTACACCATCAAAAAGACCTCCATCATGACACCTAAATATTCAACAAAATCATTCCCTTATTTTATTTTATTTTATTTTGTGGTAAAATAAAATGTCCTCACTTTCCAACTTTAGGAAATATTAATTAAATATAAAAAGTTTGACATTTTCAAATTAATGTGTATTTTTTGTTATTTGATGTTTATTTTGCAACCAAATATTTAAACAAAATTATTAGAATATTTATACCAAATTTTACAAATTAAATTTGATATTTATACCAAATACTAAATTTAGTTCCAAATTATTTAAATTAAATTTGATATTTATACTAAATTTTACCTCAAAAGCAGTATAAATTTAGAATTTTATATTTTGGTGTAATATTGATTTTAATTTCAAGAAAGATTTATTTATAATTTTAATATAAAATTCAGTTCTTAAATAAAACCCAATAAATATTTGAGAAAAGCAAACATTAAGGTTGATATATATAATAAATTCACATGTTGAGTTGGGTGGTCCAAGTAAACGAGTCAGCATACAATACGACGCCCATTTTGTTTGTGTATATATATATTTTCCTTGTAATTTCCCACCGTCCATTATTTCTCAAACTCATCACATCTCCACTCCAATCATGAATTATGGCAGGCTTCAACCAAAATCAATCTCCCAACCGGAATTCACGCACGATCAATACGAATCTGGATCGTCGGAGCCACCTAAGAAACCAAGGTCAAAGCTAAAGCTCCTTCTTATAGTCGGAATCACACTCATTGTTGCGTCGGCGGTATCGGTGGCATTAGTGGTGGCCCTCCGAAACAAAGCCTCCGGCGGTGGTTCCGGTTCGATGGTCCGACCGAAGCCGACGAAAGCCATATCCAGAGTCTGTAGCCGTACGCTTTACCAGAACCTCTGCGTCAACTCGTTTCTTGATTTCCCGGGTTCACTCACCGCGTCGGTCAAAGACCTGGTTCACATTTCGGTCAACATGTCGCTGCAGCGCGTGGGAAGCGCGTTGTATACGTCGACAGATATCAACAACGTGGAGATGGACTTACGTGTACGATCGGCGTACAATGATTGTGTTGAGTTACTGGAGGATTCGGTGGAGCAGCTCTCACGGTCACTAACCACCGTCGCGCCTTCTTCTTCCGGCGACACACAGCGCGTGGGATCCACTGACGACGTCATGACGTGGCTCAGCGCATCGCTCACCAATCAAGATACGTGTACGGACGGTTTGTCGGAGGCGGAGGACGGTGAGGTGAAGAGACTGATGCAGGAGAAACTTAAGGACTTGTCGGAGCTCGTAAGCAATAGCCTTGCTATATACTCGTCGGAAAGTGACGACGATGATGTCGATGAGACTCCGATTGAGAACCGGCGGCGGAGGTTAATGTCAGAAGCTTCCGGCAAACGGTCATCGGAGTTTCCAGAGTGGGTGAGCAAGAAGGAGAGACGATTGTTGCAGATGCCGGCGGCCGTAATCCAAGCCGACATAGTGGTGTCAAAAGACGGCAATGGCACGTGCAAGACCATCAAGGAGGCGATCAAAAAGGCACCTCAGCATAGCAGTCGCCGATTTATAATCTACGTGAAGGCAGGAAGGTAAAAAAAACGCCACGTCACTTTTGAAAAGCACCTTTTGATCTGATAGAATGACAATAATACCACTGTCAGTTTTCTCGTACTGAGTAAAAGTCAAGTAGGTTTTTTTAAATAATAAATTAAAATATAAACTAATCCTGAAAAAGGCTTTTTTTGATACAATTTGCAGGTACGAAGAGAGAGATTTAAAGGTGGGAAGAAAGAAGACGAATTTGATGATAATTGGAGATGGAAAGGGCAAAACGGTCATTACAGGAGGAGTTAGCGTAGCAGATCATGTGACCACATTCCATACTGCTTCATTTGGTAACCACTCTATGAACCCATGTCCTCAATTGTCTTTTTCACGTTGCCCACTTGCATGTGCTATCCATCATTTCGCAATCATCCCTCCCTACCTTATGCATTAAAAATTGTACCATAGATTGGATTTTACCAATTCACCCTTTTGGAAATGCAGCCGCAACCGGTGCAGGGTTCATGGCACGTGACATCACGTTCGAAAACTATGCTGGCCCGGCCAAACATCAAGCCGTTGCACTCAGAGTGGGTGCAGACCACTCGGTGGTTTACCGTTGCCAAGTGATCGGTTATCAAGACACGTTATACGTGCACTCCCAACGTCAATTCTATCGCGACTGCGACATTTATGGAACCGTCGATTTCATTTTCGGTAACGCCGCAGTCGTCCTCCAAAACTGCAACATTTACGCCCGAAAGCCAATGGACCAGCAAAAGATAACCATAACAGCTCAAAACCGAAAAGACCCGAATCAAAACACCGGGATCTCGATCCACTCGTGCAAGCTCCTAGCCCAACCGGATCTTTTAAACGGAAGTTTCCAAACATTTCTTGGCCGACCATGGAAAATGTACTCACGAACGGTGTACATGTTATCGTATATGGGCCAGCACATTGACCCAAAGGGGTGGCTCGAATGGGACGGGACGTTTGCCCTTGATACGTTATATTACGGTGAGTACATGAATTACGGGCCAGGTGGGGCCATCGGACAACGGGTGAAATGGCCGGGTTATCGGGTGATCACGTCGGAAATAGAGGCAAGCCGGTTCACGGTGGGAAAGTTTATATATGGGTCGTCGTGGCTGCCGGCGACGGGAGTGGCTTTCGTGGCAGGGTTATCGGCGTAATGGTGACCGATATAATGAATTATTTGCTAATTTTTTGGGTGAAAATTAGAAAAACGAAAGAAGGGTGAGACGGTAATTTTGGCAGGAAATTGAAGTCGCAACAGCGTGTGGGGTGTGAGTGATAGTGACAATTGTACCACTTGTGAATCATATTATTGTCGGTGGCGATTATATAGTATTATGGTATATGGTAAATGGCAAAATTTATTTACGTTCGGATAGGGTTAGACATTTCGGCAACAATAAGGAAAGCTTGTTCAACATTTAACCTTTTAATACAAATTTCTATTATTTCAACTCATTCTTTGATAAAATAATCTATCTTATTTTATGGATATATGTTTTGATATATATAAGTTGGTTTCTTGTAAGCATATTAAAATATTATTTGGAGTAGTGTTTTAATAGTTTATTGTTATTTTTTATTATTATAACTCTTTTAATATTATTAATTGAAAATGTTAAAGTTATACTTATTTTATTTCATAGATAATAAAAATATGTTAAATAATTTGAATAAAATATTAAATCTATTTATTGAAAATGGTTAAATGCATGAAATAGCAACCTACTTTCATAAATTTTTTTATTATAGCATTTTACTTTTGTTTTTCTTTATTACAACAATGTATTTTCAAATTATTTTTTATTAAGTCATTTTACTTTAAAAAATTTACCCATAATAGCAATGGGTAACATGTTACCTTTTAAACCGGTTAACCTTTTGACTTTTTTTTTTGCTTGTGTAGCTTTAATAAGGTGATGTGGATGACACATCATTTTGATGATTTAACTAAAATTAAAATAAAAATCTATTTCAAATTATTATTAGTGATTTTCATTTTTTAATGCTATGATCTAAAAAACATATAATTTTTTATTTTTTCTTATTAAGTTGCATGCAAATTAAATATTTTTAGAGTAAAATATTTATTAAATAA